CCCCCCCCCCCCTCCACACACACACATAACAAACTTAATTTATCGACTAGATATTACTTCGTTAAGGCTTCTGTTATTTTGGTGTCACGTCAAGTGGAAATAAAACCCCCGCACTAAAGGCAAACAATCTCAGCTGTAAAAATTCAACATAGACCTAGCTCGTATAACCAGTCCGCGCATCAATGAGTTTCAGTGTCAGTTACGTCACCAAACAAAAACAAAATAAGAAAATTAAACAGGTAGGAACCCGTGGTCTTCCAGTAAGGGAAAGTCAACCATATTGTTAGCGGCCACTTGAACCGAATCACACTTGCACCTGACATGGTGTATTATTGAGAGAACGGTTGCCACAAATCTTCAGAAGAGTGCCATTCAGGGCGCATTCAGGGGGCTGTCACACCTGATGTGTTCTACAATGACCCAAGGGCTGTGCGGCATTCACTAATCCTAAGTGGGCACTTCACTCCCACTCGATGTAGGCTTCGTTTTGTGGATTAACTGTTAATTCCCCGGCATCTCCGTGGACGCAAAGCAGTCACGTAGAAGTAGCACCAAGCCACTTTCTGCCAGCAAAAGTCGAAAGTATAATCACTAATGCGTATTTTCTTCCGTTTTCTCTGTTCGGTACGTGACCCAGTGAGTGGCTGTGGTAATCTCCAGTACTTACCTGGTTTAAATTGCGAGTGGAAGCAGAGAAAAGATTGAAGAACTTGCTTTATTAATGGGTTGTGTGCATTCCATTGCAACACCACACTGGGATCTGACCCCCCTGGATAACTCTTCTGACAATAAATACTTTGCACTTAGCGCCGTCTTTTTTCTAATGTTTCTTTTTCTTTTGGGTGTTTGAGAATTCTTGGTTTCATGGTAAAGCATGTCAACATTTTAGTAGAAAACATGAATTACATCAAAGAGAAAATAACATGTGGTGTAATATTCCATAACTTATTATTATTGATAAGTAAGTATGTGAAAGTGGCCGGGATTGTGATTTATGCCAAATGGTCATTAATCCCTTTTTATCGAGCAAGCAGGTAGACATATAGATCTTTGATTTCCATATCTTTTTCAATTTTGCATACCGAATATTGGGATCCAACAAAGATTAATGAACTATGTCATTTTACACGGTTGGATATCTTTCAATATATTTGCCAATTTCGCGTTAAATAACACACCACACACCTAGGGCTTAAGAGGGTGGATTTGGTTGCAGTCACACACGTGGGTAACCAAAGTGATGATACATGTTCATTGCTGGCCGTGAGTTACAAGGCATATTGGGAACACGTTTTCTGTGCATGGGTAAATTTGTACCTGTAGTACCCTTGTACTTTTCACTCATTTTCAAATGAACTTGAGAAATAATAGGTGCGAAAATGTGTGTGCCACTGTGTGTGTATGAGTATGTGTATGTTTGCGTGCGTGTGCGTGTGCTCTCGAACTGGATCTTAAAACCGCCTTTATTATTTTAGGAAAGAGGTAGGGGAAGAGCATTCAAGTATGCATATGGATTTTAGGTGTCGCAAAATGATCTGACCTGTCTAATTTTTTTTCATTCAGAATTGCAATTGTGACAGCGTCTTTCAATGAAGAACACTACATTCTTCTCCGGTCTGTGAGGGCCGCCAATAGAACATATGACCTTACCAACCAGACGAATTCCGACGATTACGTCTCCGAATTGGGACGGAACACCACGAAGATCTTGGACTCTTTGTTAGACGGATATGACAAGAGCCTGCGCCCCGGGTTCGGAGGTTTGTGTCGTATGCAACTTATTCTAATGAATTTTGTCAAATTGCGTGCTCTGTTATAAATGTAATTTATTGAATGACTGAGACCCAAGGCACTTGACTGAGTTTTCCAATTTTTCAAAAATAATTTGACTTCATATAAGAGTTAAAGCTTTTCTGCCTTGCAAAAAATATCAGTTTTGACACCTGGTCTTTTCGTACAGCATGTGTGTTTAGGGATGATTAAAACTCAACGCCTTTGACTTCAAAGGTCAAAACACCTTCGGTGACCTTTTCTTCACCTATTTTTGTTATGGACAAGAACTTCTGATGAGCCTTGTCAATGGAGTTGTGTGGTTAACGGGACCTCTGGGTAGGATCGTAATTCCTATATCAATAAAACGCAAATTGAAGGTAACTTTAGCAGCCAGCAAATAACATAAAAGATAATGAAATCGGTCAGCTTTTCATTTGGTTGATAATTTTTATAGGTGAGGATTGCTTTTTCCCTCCGAACTTCAGGTTTTTTATCTCCGCGGGGCGTTGCAATCTTTTAATTACTGCAGACCTCAAAACATGCGGGGATAAATACTTTGAATACGGTGCCCTGTGGTTTGAAAATTAACGTATCGACACAAAGATCACACGCACAGAGAATAAAGGTCAAATACTCGCCAGACCACCGATCTTCATTACGACTTCTATGAAATAAAACCTTTTCATCTGTCGAATCACTTTGTCAATGGGCGATGCGGTATGTTACACGTGGCCGACACGCTATAGCATTCATTAGCAAATTAGCCCTTTACTGGCCCATTAGAATTAAACTTTTGTTATGTAAAAATATTTTAAACCGAGAAGATGACCCATACACATTTATTTGTCACTACAGGACCCCCTCTCACTGTGAACATCAACATCTTCGTCCGAAGTATGGGGCCAATATCAGAAAAAGACATGGTGAGTACAGCATACATGCATTGTCATTTCTTTTTTTTTTTCACGGCGGTTATATTGAACCAATATTTAGTAGGCGAATGAGTGTTTTAAATCTTAATAAGGCTGTTCTTCTTCTCGGGAACTGTGTAAAATGATAGCGGGCGCTGTCTACAACAGTCATGTTTCTTCAATAACCCCAACTTTTAATGCGCTTACCCCAGACTATAGACAGACAGCGATAGACCCGCAGGCACTGTTTTATTTCCTTGAAAAATCCATTTAGGTGTGTAATGTAAGCTGACAACAGTGCGAAAAAGATTTGAATCGAATACCTTAATTATGGAAATCGAAAATAACACGTTGATGAATACCTTCAGCGTAGTTCCTGATATCGATGTCTGTTTGCGGAGGATCGTCTTTAACGTTTCCTGATTTTCCCCGTGATTTCACACCAAGAATCGATACCGGGCTATTTTAAATTGGCTGCCATGTGGCGCGAATCACGGCCTTATTAAGACAAAATCAGCCGATGAACTTTTTTATCCTGTGAAAATCAACCTGAAGTGATGGGATCTTGTGATACACGTAACGCATGTCTGTCTCAGCGCACGAGCAAAAGGCAATTTCACAGCATGGTGTACATTTTTATTTCTCGTAAACTCCCAACAAAAGTTACAAAACACATAAATCTTGATAATAATGACTTTTTGCATTTGGCACTCCAAACGATTGGGTTGGAGATGTAGAGGGAATTTGACAATTACGGAAGCGTTGATAGACTTTGTGTGTGAGTGTCTATGATGCATTTGTAGTAATTTTGAAGAGAAAATAAGGTGGCAAAACACATCTACAAGGAAATGTTTAGGTGTTAAAGAGCTAACAATGTAAAAGGAATAATTATGATAACAGAGGAAAGGAGTAATCTTTTCCCATATGACTATAATTGTACAGGTTTCCAAATCTGGGGAAAGTTTTTTTTTTTTTTTTGTTTTGTTTATTAAACCCCTTCCCCCCTGCCAATTTTTTTTTTCTAAAAGAGAGTCGAGTAAACGCTATTGCGTGCTTCTTTGTCCCGTTTAGGTATTTTAGAAAAAGATTCTTGATAAATACATAATTTTGTTTTGGACCCCCCCCCCCCCCCCCCCNACCACATTACACGCTTTACAAGACTGCTCATAGCTGGACGCCTAGGGCTGTTTTAAACATCTATTTAGTGATGTTTTATCGATTCAGACCCTAGCACGAGAGGCAAGATAAAATAGACTAAGTCTGGCGGCGTCCCAGGCCCTGCCCCAGCCCTCAAGGATGATGAGCCCACGAGACATGGACCTCCACTGGTCAGCCAGCTTGATGGTTTTCTTCACTGGGTAAGCTTTTTTAGTGTATTTTCTTTAGAACGTTAAAAATCATTTTCAAATAATGATATACTGTAGATTCATATCATGTTCAGAAGTGTTCAATCACGTCGTGCGTAGTTGACTACTGTCGGCGGAAGGACGTCTTTTCGATTTCAGAATTTAGGTTAAACATTTTTTGATCAATTACAGAATAAACCAAAATTTCACGCAATCACAAATACTTTCAGTCCTTATATCATTTCCGTTATTGAATTCACAAGAAGCAAAACACTCGGATAACGAAGAGCATTTGCACAACGTAATACCAGTGTTTTTGTCGCCGGTAATGTTCTCACAGTAGAGAAGCCATTGACGGTATCAAATGTAGTGAACCGACTGTTTTTTTTTTCGTAAATTAAATTAATATTCTTCGATTGTCTGCCGTGAAATAGTGCCATAAATATCATCTATATAATTTGCACAGTAATTGTATTTGTGGCAGGAACATGCTATTACTATACTACACTATTACAGTTCTCAGTTTTGAATGCAACTGTATAAGTAGTTTACATCTTTTAAATGTATTTTAGATATTAAATAAAATGTTCTTTTTGAATCATGTCGTACCTCTGGAATGAGCTGAATTGCTTTTCAGTAACTTCATTCTATTTCTTACATGGCATTTCGCGAGATACAGAGAGATAATGGAGGTCTTGTAGTTACGCTTAACGTGAGAAAAGTTGGGTCATGGATTCATTAAGACTCTCTTTCTTTAGTTCTTTGCCAATTTTCTTTCGTTAAAAGATATTGTCAACGTTTCCAGGGGGAAAAGATAAAATTATGTCCACTTCCTTTTTCGGGTATTTCGAATTCTTTTTCAAAAGCGTTTATTTTCATGTTTGTGAACATCTAGGAGATAATTATTGATACAAACATAAACAATGCCTAGACAATATATTGTTATATATTGTTTTTTTTTTTTTTTTGTGCTTTCAAAAATAATTACTAAACAAAATATTTTTCATAATTTGCCCCCTTCA